AGCTGGCTAGGACTAGCAATATAGTATAGAATGCCTCAGTGCATCCATTACGCTCCTTAAGACCTTCTCGTGTCATCCAGGTCTACTCAAAGTTCATGTGGGTGGCACAGCAAGACATGGCCAAGGGGCTGTGTGTGACGACATAACAAAATAAAGGAGAAAGATGACTTGTTGTGTTGGACAGGACAGAGGAAATCTGGAGTTCTGGAAAAAAGTAGTTTTGACAAAGCCACCCTTTTGTTTACAAGCACATGTGGGGAAAAATGCTACAGTCACTCATTTGGGACCAAGCCTGTGATTTTCAAATGCATCTTTATTGATTGGTTGATTTAGCTCTAGTAGTATGAACTTGACAAGAACCTGAAGCTAAACAACACAAAAAAACCAATTACCACTATTACCTCACACAGTAACAGACTAATGCAAAAAAACAGAAGAAAATACAACAACCCAGCTAAAAGAACCGTGAAATAACTAAATTAACTTGTAAACTCTACGTGTAACAAACGGCTGAGATTAGTCCCACACGTCACTTACAAACCCAGCAGGAGGGAAGAGGAGGTCTGAACACAAAACCAAGCACCTCAGATGTCAGTTCTTTCTCCCGAGTGTGCCTAAGCACTGGCCCATTTGAGACAACACACAACCATGTGCTTGGCAGCACAAGTGTGAACAAGTGAGGCAGAAGCAGAGATGCACACCATCTGCCCACATGATGTCTTTTACCTTAGAAAGCCTCCTGTGTCTGTTCTCTGCTTTGGAACATTCAAAAGAAGAGACTGATATGGATTTGAACCCAAAGGATGTGAAAAGAGCCTGGTCACTGAAGGAGAGTAGGCCAAAAATAGAGAACTGAGCACTACAGGCAGAAATTGAAGTTATCTAAGTTGGCAGTAGGCAAAACTCATTTAAACACATTCATTCCAGATAAGCACATGATGGAACAGCAAACCTGAATTTCAGGAAGAAAAACTGGGGAATACTAACCCACTCATTTCATCCTTTGCTTTCCCATTTTTTCCCCCTCCACTCTTGTGAGACCCCAGCTGGAGTACTGAGCCCAGTTCTGGAGTCCCCAACATAAGAAGGACATGAAGCTCCTGAAGGAAGCCCAGAGCAGGGCTACAAAGATGATCTGAGGGCTGGAGCACCTCTCCTATGAAGACACTCTGAGAGAGTTGGGGCTGTTCAGCCTGGAGAAGGCTGCGAGGAAGCCTTATGGCAGCCTTCCAGTACCTGGAGGGGGCCTACAAAAAAGCTGGGGAAATACTTTTTACAAAGGCATGTAGCAATAGGACAAGGGGTGTTGGTTTTAAACTGGAAGAGGGTAGATTTACGTTAGACATTAGTAAGAAATTCTTTAGTGTGAGGGTAGATCCCTAGAAGTGTTCAAGGCCACCTTGGATGGGGCTCTGAGCAACCTGGCCTAGTGGGAGGTGTCCCTACCCATGCAGGGAGTTTGGAACTAGATGATCTTTAAGGTCCCTTCCAAACCAAACCATTTTACGACTCTATGATTTGCTGCCTGCCCATTATGACTCCTCTGTCTGCACCCTTTGCACACACTCCCCCTCACAGAATCACAGAATCATCCTGGTTCAAAAGAACCTCTGAGATCAACATCAACACAACCCTGAAGTACCACATTTACCCCCAGGTATGGCTACTTCACCACCTCCCAGGGCAGCCCGTTCCAGTGCCTGACGACTCTTCCAGTACAGAAATTCTTCCTAATACACAATCAGAACCTTCCTTGCTGCAACCTCAGGCCATTTCCTCTGGTCCTATTTTTATCCACATGGGAGAAGAGACCAACCCCCACCTCACTACAGCCTCCTTTCAGGTAGTTGTAGAGGGCAATGAGGTCTCCCCTCAGCCTCCTTTTCTTCACACTATACAACCCCCATTCCCTCAGCCACTCCTTGTATGACTTGTTCTCTAGACCCTTCACCAGCCTGATACGTCTTCTCTGGACACCCTCCAGCACCTCAATGTTCTTCTCAGATTAAGTGGCCCAGAACTGAACACAGTACTTGAGGTGCAACCTCACCAGTGCCGAGTCACTTCCCTACTTCTTCTGGCCATGCTATTCCATGCTATTCCTATTGGATTTCTTGGCCACCTGGGCACACTGTTGGCTCATATTAAGGCAGCTGTCAACCAGCACCCTCAGTTCCTTTTCTGGGCAGCTCTCTGGCCACTCCTCCCCAAGCCTGTAGTGTTGCCTGCAGCTGTGACCAAAATACAGGACCTGGCCTTTGGCCTTATTGAACCTCATATAACTGGCCTTGGCCCAAAGATCCATCCTGTCCAGGTCCCTCTGCACAGCTTTCCTACCCTCTAGCAGATCAACACTCCCACTCAATTTGTTGTTGTCTACAAGCTTACTAAGGGTGCACTCATCCAGATCACAAAGATATTGAACAAGACTGGCCCAAAACTGAGCCCTGAGGGACACCACTGGTGACCAGCCACCAACCAGATTTGATCCCATTTACCACAACTCTCTGGGCCCAGCCATCCAGCCAGTTTTTTACCCAGTGAAGAGCACACTTGTCTGTGCCAGGGTTCGCCAGCTTCTCCAGGAGATGCTGTGGGAGATGGTGTCAAAGGCATTACCAAAGTCCAGGCAGACAATGTCCACAGACCTCCCCACATCCAACAGGCAGGTCACACAGTCATAGAAAGGGATCAGGTTGGTCAAGCAAGACCTCCCTTTCACAAACCCCTGCTGGCTGGCCCTGATCCCCTGGCTGCCCTGCACTTGCTGCGTGAACTCACTCAAGATGAGCCTCTCCATGATCTTTCCTGGCACTGAGGTCAGGCCGACAGGCCTGCAGTTCCCCAGATCCTCCTTCCAGCCCTTCCTGTAGATGGGTGTCACATTACCTACCCTCCAGTCCTCTGGTACCTCTCCTGTTGGCCAGAATAGTTGATAAATGATGGAGTGAGGCTTAATGAGCTCCCTGCCAGCTCCCTCAGCACTCTAGGGTGGATCCCATCAAGCCCCATAGACTTGTGTGTGTCTAGGTGCAGAAGCAGATCATTAACTATGTCCTCCTGGATTCTGGGGGAGTTGTTCAGCTCTCCGCCCCTATTTTCCAGCTCAGGAGGCTAAACACCCTGGGGGGACCTGGTCTGACTATTAAAAGACAGGCAACCACCTGCTATCTCCCATACCAAATGGGCAGCAACCCTCCTGCCTCACTGCACTGCCTTCCCTGACCTTCACACAGCTCTGCTAGTGACTTCCACTTCTTGCTCCCACCCTGCTCTTTGCCTTGTGTACCTCTGTGTCAGAGACAGCTGAAACCTGATTTCCTGTCTCCCACAATCAGAGCTCTCATCTTGATTTCTCATTCGTGAGGAATGCAGAGAAATGGGATCTAACATCATGTAAATAGAGCAAATACCTTATTTCTGTCCATCTTCTTCATCCTTCTTGTCTTTTCCTCCCACTTGTTCCCTCCCTTAAATGTAGTAACGTTTACAGTACTTCAGGTCCAGTTCTCTGATTTTTACATAAACCCCCAGAATTTTCCTGAAAGTCAGTTCACTCCCCAAACCCCACACCTTCATCAGAGTTATGGCAGTTATGGGAACATCTACTGCTTGTGCCACTGGACAGAAACTGCTTTGGCATGACAGCATAAGGCTTGCACAGGACAGAATCTCTCTAGCACCTTTCTAAGAACACTGGCTTAAAATAAAATATTCTTTTAAAAAACTTACAATCTATTCTCCTTCCTCTTCAACTCTAAAAGCACTTCTCTTGTAGCAAAGATTAGCATTGTTGTCTAACCACAAAAAAGCAGCAAAACACACATGTGAGTGACTGATTTCTTCTGTGTGTGCATGTGGTGCAAGGGCTGTACAGGGATGAGACATAGAAGGGAAGGCTAAACCCACAGGACTTCTACCATCTTCAAAACTGCAGAAAACTGGTACAAGGAAACTGACAAGACATTCTTCTGTGTTCCCCAGTAAAACCATTAGTACTTAGTTGCTTTAATGCACAGCAAGGGAGACTAAAGTAGGGAAAAAAGCTCTACCACTTGTTGGGTAGCCAGCAACTGAACAGGCAACCTTAGTAGCCTCAAGAATCTGCCTTAGTGAAGTTCACTATGAAGAGATCAGATGAGCAACTGTGGCAAACTCACTGGGTATACTTAGTCCTGCTTCAGAGCTGGAGTGAGCTAGTCATTCTCTTGAGGTCCTTTCTAGCTCTATGCTAATGAGTTAATCAGTTGGATTCACTGAAAAGAACAAAAGAGTTGTATCCATTTTTTCTGTACAGCACTTGCAACTAAAGCAACAAAGGAAAAAATAAAGTAATTCCTTCCTTCTTTTCCCCAACCTTCATGTCTTATAGCTGAAGAGTTTCCAGCCCTCAGAGTTAGCCCTTCTAATACTGATGGAAATGATGGGAAATGCAATACCTTTGGAACACTTGACACATAGAAGCTGGGTCAGCACAGGACAGACTCGTGTGGGCAGAGTGAATTCTCACAGGAGTGCAGCCCGTGCCCTGGGCAAAGCACGACAAGGACAATGTACATTACACAGCATGCCTTCTGCATCTAATTAAAGGGTTACACAAAAGGGCCATCCTGCCCAGTCACTCTCCTGGAGCCTCACCACACTGCCTTGTCTAAGAGCCTCTAGTAAGGGCTAACTACTTCCATCTGTGGCAAGAGAAGAACTATGAACAGTGGAGTCTGCCCACCGTTCAGCACAGAACCCTTTGTTAGCCTTTCAGCTGACCCCTTCATTCACCCAGCTCACTGTCCCCTTACCCTCCCTCCCCTTAATTTAAAAAATAATGGTTATAATTAACACATGGAAGGTGATGGCGTTGTGCACGTGGTTGACTTCCAGTTCTCCTCCCCTCTTCTCAGGCGTTTTCCTTCCTTCCTCCTCTCCAGCATCCCCCCACCCCCCACCCCGCCCCCAGGTCTGCTCCATCAGTCCGTGTCGCCTGCATGCCTTGGGGGGGCTGCTCACTTGCCATAGACACTCTCATCGCTGTAGGCCACGTAGAGAAAATAGTCCTCCTCATGGTTATCCTGAAGGGGGAGAAAGGGGAAAAGTAACCAAAAAAAGCCCTGTAACCCCTCTGCATGTGAAAAAGCCCAACCAAGAGGTCATTGTAACAAGAGGGCACAACCGCTCCTGCTTTTTCTCCTGATTTACATCAAAGGCTTCACTTCCTCACACCAAAGACAGTGCACAGGAACCCCCTCTCTCTGGATGTAGCACTGCCTCTAAATTCAGGCATGTCACATTTCTGAACCCAGTGGATTTACCTGAAGAACCACAACCAGAGTGTGTTGCAAACATGCCGCAGAAACAGCTCTGACTGTTGCAGGCTGTGCAGCAGAATCCCAGCACAGGTACGGCCTTAAGATGGAGAGGAGAGACTTGGAAGGCTTTAAAAATTCCAAATACAGTACTTGGGAAATGTGGTTATATTTGTCATTTTTCAGACCACTTTGACAAGCAAGCTGTATTTCTAGGCCTGCTTCAAATGTGGGCAGTAAAGCTGAGATATTAAGTGATACCTTGACACAAAAAATCTGCGAAGTGCCAGAACAGAGTCCTGATGTCAGCTCTGGACAGTTAGACATACTCTCCTCCTCCATGTCCAGATTTGGAAAACTCCCTGCATGTCTTAATCTTGTATTATCTTTGCCAGTCCACATACACATGATCCAGTTATTGTCAAAAAGTCATAGGTCAAATAAGGCTCACAGCACCATACTGGAGCTCTCCTATTAAAACATACTAACACAACAGATGGAGAAATCAAGGATAAATCAATCCAGGCTGAAAACCAGCAGTGATATAATGGCTATAGAATTGAGGAACACTCCTCTGATGAGCACAGAATTTGCCTTTAAGGTAAATCAAATAACACTGCTCAGAAGAAATGCCAGGCTGCAATTTTCACAGTGTCCTGCAAGGTCCTCAGATACACAGTGCAAGTCATTAAAAAGTAACTCTGAACAAAGAATAAGTGTTCCTTGACAATGTATTTATAGGCAGTTGCTCACTGATACTGTGTTGTGGCTAAAAGGAAATACCTTTTTTATCAACAGGAAAGTATATGGTCTGTCTCCAACCCCCCATCTCAACACAATCTTTCTCCAAAATACAAATAATAAAGTTGTTTATTTCAATACCTTATGAAAGTAGCAGGACCACCATATCATGGCTGGGTCAACTATTCACCACCTGATATGACAACCCTTTCAACTATCAAACAATCAGTTAAAATTAGATTCCTTCCTACCCAAACCATTCTATGATTCTATGTACCCAAACTAGAAATACACCTTTCTTTGCTATTATTGAATTGAAACTGAATATTAGCCAGCAGTGTGCCCTGACACCCAGGAGGGACAACCCTGTTCTGGGGTGTATCAAGCACAGCATTGCCAGCTGGTCAAAGGAGGGGGTTGTCCTGCTCTACGCTGCACTGGTGTGGCCTCACCTTGAGCTCTGTGTGCAGTTTTGGGCACCATGATATAACAAGGACATCAAACTATTAGAAAGTGTCCAAAGAAGATCCATGAGGATAGGGAAGGGTCTGGAAGGGATGAGGTCAGTTGGATTGTTCAGCTTGGAGAAGAGGAGGCTGAGGGGTGACCTCACTGCAGTCTGTGGCTTCCTCAATAGGGTAAGAGATGGGGCAGGTCCTGATCCCTTCACTCCTGTGACCAGTGACAGGTCTCAGGGAAATGGCAGGAAGCTGAATCAGGGGAGGGAGATTTAGGTTGGATATAAGGAGGTTTCTTCACCCAGAGGGTAGTTGAGCACTAGAACAAGCTGCCCAGGGCAGTGGTCACAGCACCAAGCCTGCCTGAGTTCCAGAAGCATTTGGATGATGCTCTCAGGCACATTGTGTAATTCTAGGGGTGCCCTACATAGGGACAGATGGGAGTTGGACTCGATGATCCTGAGGGGTCCCTTCCCACTTGGCACATTCTATGACTGTATGAGGCTTCTAGGGCTCCTCTGTGGAATGTAACTTCCCTGAACAGGTGATGGGAAACAGTCCAGGCCAATGGGGCCTGTGTTCAGGCATCTGTGACGAAGCTGTGCCCATTGACAGCTGAGTAATGCTCAGTTGTCTTTCAGTGAGGATATTCAGTCATCCAGACACACCAACAAGAGAAAGAGACAGGCCAGGCTTACCTCATACAGTTGGCCCATGGTAGCACTGGTGGGAGGGATGGTATTATTGACAAAGAAGAACAGGGCATCCTCTGGCCTCAGGTGAATCCGCTTTCGGATTAGGAAGTAGAACTGGCCAACTGAAGAGGAACAGAGGAGAATGCTTTAGATGCAGTAAGACTTCTTTTTTTCCTTATCCCTAACCACGGTTGTTTTCTTTTGGTGGTAGAGGTCACATGCTATATGTAAAAAGTAGGGAAAAACTAACAACGTGGGAAAAAAAAGCAGTAGCTTCACAATTTTAACTACATTAGCAGCCAAACCACTTGAAACTGGCAGTTTCTCAGGTACATGCCTCAGATCATCCCCCCTTTAAATTCACACTCCACCTACCATGGTATGAAATGTTCTGTAGGGAGTGGTGGGAAGACCTCTAATTAATTTAGCCTTTAAATTCTATACATTAAAGACACCCTGGACAATCTAAGTGTGTACATTCCTGAGAACCAATTCCTAAAAACAGATTTCTGACTTCTTGCTTGAACTATGTTGCACAAGAAAATTGCAAAAAGAAATGTTGTTCCTTTAACTCTTTTGTGTTCTGGCCATGACCACTCAGAAAAGGAACTTTGTAGCTGTGTGTGCTGGTTTGGTGGCTTTTTTGGTAGTGGGGGAAGGGCCCCAGGGGTGGTTCCTGTAAGAAGCTGAGAAGCTGCCCCTGCTCCAAACCCAGCCAA